AAAATTTTAAAATTTTTAAAGTATAATATAAAATTTATATTTATTTTATATTTATATTAGTAAAAAAAATTATAATTTATATAAAAATTTTATATTATTTTTAAATATTTTATATAAAATTTTATTTTTTATAATAAAATTATATATAATTTTATATATATAAAAAAAATATAATAATATAAAAATTAAAATAAAAAAATTTTAAAAAAATTATATTTTTTATTATAAAATTTTTTTTTAATAATTATTTTTATATTTATATATATTTTTTTATATTTTTATATATTTTTTTATATATTATTATATTATTATATATATATATATTTTAATATTATTTTATTATTTTATTAAAAATTTATATTATATTTATTATATTTATATATATTAATTTTTTATATTATATTTATAAAAATTATTTTATATATATATTATTTTATATATATATATATATATATATAAAGTATAATATATTATTTATATATATATTTTATAATTTATATATATATATTTTTTTATATATTTATTTATATAATTATATATTATTTATATATAATTTTTATATATATATATATAATAATATTTATAAAAATATATATAATATAATATATATATATTATATATTTATATAATTTTTATAAATATATATATATATATATATATATTTAATATATATAATATATATATATATATATTTTATATATATTATACATATACATATTATATACTTATATACATACTATACATACATATACTAAAATATATCAACATATATAAAAACATATATACTACATATTAATACATATAAAATAAAATTACTGTTGGGCAAGAACAATCCTTTATAAACTCAAAATACTCAGTTTATTTTACCTTTTAATTTCCCCTTTTTCCAGTTTCTTGTTTCTCAAGTGTCAAAGGCTAGTCCATTTTTCCTTGCTTCCTATATTCCCCAATATCTATTTGGTTCATATTACTATTATATTCATTAACAAGCACTACAACTATGTTGTTAGGGTTAGTACAATCACTGTTCCACAATGCAATCATTTTAGCAGCTCCCATTAAATTTCTTGCATCTTCTTATGCATGTTTCCTCATAATCCTTTGCATTTAGCTCATTTTATTTCCCCACATAATATGATTTACTTTTTTAAACAAGATTATACAACATTCCCTTTACTACTCCTACTACTGCATTCTTTAGTGCTTTCAATCACTTTGTCTCTTGCAGCTCATGAATAGAGTGGAAATTTAGTGTACAGTTCGTAGACTGATACTATACATCCATATAATTGTTGAAAAAAAAAAATATAATAATTAAGGAAGGAGACAGTTGATGAGGTTAATGCCTACTACAGTGTGGTGTGGCCAACAGTTTCTCCCTCACTCCACAAAACTTATCAATCCATCATGTATACAACATAATTATTGAACAATTCAGATGTATGGAGGTGTGTTGGACAGCAAAATCTGCAGGGTACCTTCATTTTAGCTAGAGCTAAAACCAGGGTTGCATTAGATGCTAGACTGTCAGTCAGGGAAATCAGAAGCATTATTAATCCTACCTCCCCAACTTTTTTTATTATTTTATTATCACACTGGCCGATTCCCACCAAGGCAGGGTGGCCCGAAAAAGAAAAACTTTCACCATCATTCACTCCATCACTGTCTTGCCAGAAGGGTGCTTTACACTCTTATTTTTCACCACAAATCCAGACCTCTGAATTGTCCTTGTAATAATATGTGGTATATACATGAAATTTACTTGAGTGATGAAGTATTAGCAGCCCTCCCTTCCAGGGAATGGACAGTTTATATATGTTATTCACATCTGGTGAATTAATGTTTGATGTCAAGTGCAGCACAGTTTAACGATTAAAATCACAACAATCTCAATTACATTTTAAAATAAAAAACAAAACCCTTACTACTTTTTAACAAGGCTATGAGGGAGATAAACACATCTGGAATAAATCTACAAGGAAACCTGGAACTGATGTCGGAAAGCTAAGGAAACTACAGGAATTTGAAAAATAAAGAGAAGACAGAAAAATGGAATGGAATTTCGTAAGGGTAATAAGATGACTACCATGGACAAAGATGAGAATAATAAAATTTTGTTTGCATCATAAAAGATGAAATAGAATTTTATGAAGTGACAAAGTAACAATTTTAGTTATATCGACTAAAATACCTCAGATCAGGGCAAAATAAAATGCATCCAGAACAGAACCATTGTAATAATTGGCATATAAGAACCAAAGCATTGGGCACTGTCAAATAGGTAATTATACACACTAACTCATCTGAAAACCCACAAAAAACTGTCTTGTCAAAACATACAGTAGGTAATTTAACTTTAGGGCCTTAGGCCTAAAGTAATGTTAAATGACGTTATTCTGAGTGTTTGACATATATTTACACAGCTTTTGTTGAGAAGCACAATGACACATTGCTATCAATACTATTGCTATCAACAAATACAACGATCATAGTATACTAAAGCAGCACTTCAGGTATGAACATCACACTAAAACTTACAAACTAAAGAAAAACAAGCATCTTATGAAATTTTAGCCTCAACTAATAACATCCAGATGCCTTGATAAACAATAAATATGTATCCTGCTGATAAATATACATTACTATATTTTAGGGTTCTACTATATATCTATACCAATGAGAAATCAATATCAGAAAAACTTACCGATTTTAGACACTCAGGTTTTAACTTTCTGACCAGCTGATCCACGAAGTTTCGTCTGTCGACAGAGGAAATTTTTAGAGCATGTTTGTATATACTGTATTTACTAGGTTGTAAAATATTGTATACCAATAAGCTACTAAAACAAGGAGAATTAAGACAGTTAATGTTATGATTTGATAAGCTTTCAGTAACTTATGACGTAAGAAATTTGAAACAGTAAAATTGCCTCGGTGGGAGGCAGCCAACTTGTTAAAAAAAAAAAAAAAAAAATTGGTTTAAAAAAAATAATTTATCAAAATTCTATTACTTTTTTGAAGATAAGCCAGTAGCATTTATACACAGAAAATGTTCAACAAATTCAGTTGGTACTGAAACTTGAACGATAAAATAAGTGGGATAATAATCTGTAAATCTCTGGATGTGGGAAAGGTTATGGGGTCAGACTAGGCAAGCCCAAGTTGCATCAAGAATTAAGGAACAGATAAAGCAATCTCACTCTTACCTTCCAACTTTTCCTAGAGGATGAGGGAAGAAGTGCAGATTACAATAAAAGATCAAAAGAGATGGAAGAATAGTGTGATGAGTGGGAAGAAATGGAAAAAGAATAGTGGTGAGAAAGATGAGAGATGAACGGACGAGGGAGGAATAAATGGGGGAGAGAGAGGAAGTAGGGAAATGGGGAGGAAAAGCAAGTTCACATAATGTATTTGGAATTGTCATTAACCCTTTGACTGTTTCGGTCGTATATATACGTCTTACATGCCACTATTTCTGACGTATTTATACGCGTAAATTCTAGCGGCTTCAAATCAAGCGGCAGTAAGCTGGTAGGCCCACACGTGAGAGAATGGGTCTGTATGGTCAGTGTGCACCACATAAAAATCCTGCAGCACGCACTGCGTAATGAGAAAAAAAAAACACAATTTTTTTGGATTAAAACGCCAACTTTGAGGTGTATTTTCGTATGGTATTTATCGTTGTATTCTCGTTTTCATGGTCTCAGGTGATAAAATGGGAAACATATTACAGGAATAGAGATGATTTTGATTACTTTCATGATGAAAACGACCTTGAAATTGAGCTCAAAGTAGCGGAAATGTTCAATTTTTACCAATGTTCAGGAGTAAGTTAATCACACCACACGTCCAATACACTTCAACTGGGAAGTCTAATATTCTTTTACTAGTTGATTGATATTATTTATACCATTTTCACAATAATACAGTAGTCTGCATAACAGTAAATTTTGTATTTTTTTGTATGAATAAAAAATCAAAATAGAAGGCAATAGTAATATAAGAGGGGCCTAGAGACGTGACTAATGAACAGTGGATATGTTATTTTAGTGCCAAGAATGTCTACATTGTTTATTCTGGACCCTATTTTGAAATTGGCATCTTTTTTAATTTGCATGAAATTGGCCAAATTGCCAATTTCTGACCACTTTATTGGGTAGTTCAAATCGGTAAATGGGCGGTTTCTTGTACTCAACTGATAGAAAAAAATGGAGTTCTAAAGAAACAGCTATGAGTTTGGTCAACTGGAACAACGGAATTGGCCAAAAACAGGGCTCAAAGTCGGCAAAATCGCCGATGCTTATATGACGCCGAGACCGCTAACTTTGCAGGAGCGTAATTCCGTCAGTTTTTGACCAAATTTCGTACTTTTGGTGTCATTACCATCAGGAAAAGATTCTTTATCATTTCATAAGAAAAAATAATTTTTTTTTTTTTTTTCCAAAAATTTATCGACATAGAATGACAGTTTCAGAAAGGGGCATGCGACAGTCAAAGGGTTAAGCAATATAAATTAGTGATGGGATGATACCAAAACTTTTGATGATATCAATACAGCATGTACTCAATTTTAGGCTGATACCAATACCCTAAAAAAACTGTTCATACCCATCAATACCAATGCCACCAAAATTATTAGATACCCAGTCATACTGATACTTGCTCTCATGCAAATACTTGTACCATAAAAATCAGCTAATGTCCACAAACATCGATATATTCCAGCACACCCTTTATATATATAGTAATGAAGATTTTAAAGTGGCAGTAAAGGAATACAAACTTTGAAGTTAGACCTCCTCCAGGGGGAAGGTTGGGGATAGCTTCATCAGCGAGCACTTGCATTATCTGTGGTATGGTAATTTGTCTCTCTCGCTCACACAATTCTGAAACAGGGAACACATTAATAACAGTGACAGACATACAATAAGCTAGACACTATCACGAACATTTTCATTCATAGCAAATGCTGGTGTCACTTACTGTTTGCACTTCTGATGATGCTCATACAATATGAAGTACAAAATTTACTGGCAAATATACTTACGTGGCCTAGAAGTTGGACAACAAATGGCAGACTCTTGCTCTGTGCAGCTAAAGTCAGGCAAGTGAATGATTTTCTCTTGGGGGAAAAAAAAAAAAATACAGTATATGAAGCTCTCACATACTAAGGGTTCAAGTATTATTTTTTTTTATTATCACACTGGCCGATTCCCACCAAGGCAGGGTGGCCCGAAAAAGAAAAACTTTCACCATCATTTACTCCATCGCTGTCTTGCCAGAAGGGTGCGTTACACTACAGTTTTTAAACTGCAACATTAACACCCCTCCTTCAGAGTGCAGGCACTGTACTTCCCATCTCCAGGACTCAAGTCCGGCCTGCCGGTTTCCCTGAACCCCTTCATAAATGTTACTTTGCTCACACTCCAACAGCACATCAAGTATTAAAACCCATTTGTCTCCATTCACTCCTATCAAACACGCTCACGCATGCCTGCTGGAAGACCAAGCCCCTCACACACAAAACCTCCTTTACCCCCTCCCTCCAATCTTACCTAGGCCGACCCCTACCCCGCCTTCCTTCAACTACAGACTGATACACTCTTGAAGTCACTCTGTTTCGCTCCATTCTCTCTACATGTCCGAACCACCTCAACAACCCTTCTTCAGCCCTCTGGACAACAGTTTTGGTAATCCCGCACCTCCTCCTAACTTCCAAACTACAAATTCTCTGCATTATATTCACACCACACATTGCCCTCAGACATGACATCTCCACTGCCTCCAGCCTTCTCCTCGCTGCAACATTCATCACCCATGCTTCACACCCATATAAGAGCGTTGGTAAAACTATACTCTCATACATTCCCCTCTTTGCCTCCAAGGACAAAGTTCTTTGTCTCCACAGACTCCTAAGTGCACCACTCACCCTTTTCCCCTCATCAATTCTATGATTCACCTCATCTTTCATAGACCCATCCGCTGACACGTCCACTCCCAAATATCTGAATACATTCACCTCCTCCATACTCTCTCCCTCCAATCTGATATCCAATCTTTCATCACCTAATCTTTTTGTTATCCTCATAACCTTACTCTTTCCTGTACTCACTTTTAATTTTCTTCTTTTGCACACCCTACCAAATTCATCCACCAATCTCTGCAACTTCTCTTCAGAATCTCCCAAGAGCACAGTGTCATCAGCAAAGAGCAACTGTGACAACTCCCACTTTATGTGTGATTCTTTATCTTTTAACTCCACGCCTCTTCCCAAGACCCTCGCATTTACTTCTCTTACAACACCATCTATAAATATATTAAACCACCATGGTGACATCACACATCCTTGTCTAAGGCCTACTTTTACTGGAAAATAATTTCCCTCTTTCCTACATACTCTAACTTGAGCCTCACTATCCTCGTAAAAACTCTTCACTGCTTTCAGTAACCTACCTCCTACACCATACACCTGCAACATCTGCCACATTGCCCCCCTATCCACCCTGTCATACGCCTTTTCCAAATCCATAAATGCCACAAAGACCTCTTAGCCTTATCTAAATACTGTTCACTTATATGTTTCACTGTAAATACCTGGTCCACACACCCCCTACCTTTCCTAAAGCCTCCTTGTTCAACTGCTATCCTATTCTCCGTCTCACTCTTAATTCTTTCAATAATAACTCTACCATACACTTTACCAGGTATACTCAACAGACTTATCCCTCTATAATTTTTGCACTCTCTTTTGTCCCCTTTGCCTTTATACAAAGGAACTATGCATGCTCTCTGCCAATCTCTAGGTACCTTACCCTCTTCCATGCATTTATTAAATAATTGCACCAACCACTCCAAAACTATATCCCCACCTGCTTTTAACATTTCTATCTTTATCTCATCAATCCCGGCTGCCTTACCCCCTTTCATTTTACCTACTGCCTCACGAACTTCCCCACACTCACAACTGGCTCTTCCTCACTCCTACAAGATGTTATTCCTCCTTGCCCTATACACGAAATCACAGCTTCCCTATCTTCATCAACATTTAACAATTCCTCAAAATATTCCCTCCATCTTCCCAATACCTCTAACTCTCCATTTAATAACTCTCCTCTCCTATTTTTAACTGACAAATCCATTTGTTCTCTAGGCTTCCTCAACCTGTTAATCTCACTCCAAAACTTTTTCTTATTTTCAACAAAATTTGTTGATAACATCTCACCCACTCTCTCATTTGCTCTCTTTTTACATTGCTTCACCACTCTCTTAACCTCTCTCTTTTTCTCCATATACTCTTCCCTCCTTGCATCACTTCTACTTTGTAAAAACTTCTCATATACTAACTTTTTCTCCCTTACTACTCTCTTTACATCATTATTCCACCAATCGCTCCTCTTCCCTCCCGCACCAAGTAATCACCAGGAAATTAATTGCTTAACCCTTAAACTGTCCAAATGTAGATCTACGTTTGTACCGCTACTGCTCCAAACGTAGATCTACGTTTTATTTTACCTGCCTCTTAATTTGGCATGATTGGGCTGAGATGCCTGGGAAGTATAAAAAGGGTCTTAGCACACAGTGTGCACAGTATTAAGAAAATCCTGGACTATTTAGTACCTTGATGGAGCACCAGTAAAATTGAGTGCCATATAGAGCTAATATCGTGGCAAACACGAAAGATTCACTGATGTCATGTTATATTAACACTCCCCTTGTAAGAGGAAAGTTATGGATGTGGCCACAAGTGATTGAGGAAATATCAAAAACCTCAATAATAACCCATCTGTAACATCATTGCAACTTCTTCATTTTTGATACCACTGGCTGTCTATCTCTCTTTCACATGTACACATAAGTACAATTATACAGTGTAAATTACCTAGAATAACCCAAAAATTCCAGGCAAAGTTCTCTACAGTGCTTGTAGATAGGAGACATAATATCCATGACTGGCAACTCAGTGGCAAGTAATACGCATTTTTACTTCATCAGGGATCAAACGTGACTACTGAATCATGTGTAATACCTGTTTACGAGCCACTCTCTAAGACAGAGACAAGCTGACAGAAACACACACACACATTCAGATAGAAAGACCAAGACACACAGGCAGACAAAGACCGAGACGCACAGGCAGACAAAAAGACCGAGACACACAGGCAGACAAAGACAGACACACACACAGGCAGACAGAAATACAGACACACAGACAAAGACAGAAAGACAGACACACACAGCCAGACAAAAAGACAGACATGCAGGCAGACAGAAAGATAAGGAGAGATACAGACAGACAGATAAACAGACAGACATACATGTTTGAGTGTAACAGTGTAAACAAATAAAGCCAGGGTTCCCTGCAGCAGGGCACTATCATTGTGTCACTCCACTGCTTACCCCATCAGCAGTTTAGCGACACTCGTCATAAACACAATGCTTCAAGAAGGTTCATATATACTCCAGCATGTCTAACATTGCTGAGACCTATAAATACTTTGTAAATATTTCTAGACATTAGTAAATGACCAAGGCAGGTAAAAATGTACACCTGCTTGTGTGATTATGACTATTTGAGTACTATTTCAGTACCTAATATTAGTGTCAGAACAAAGATTGGCCATGAAATCACAAGAACTATTATAAATTGTAATTTTCAGAACATGAAAATTATACAAATTAAAATAAAAACGAAAAAAATATATATCAACAACTCTTCTGCAAGCGGCAGGACTCCATGTTGCTGTCAGGTGAGCATCCAGCACCAACTTTGCCGTCTTATATCTCGGTAAGTACTAGTCCTAAAATTTTTTTTTTGGTCTTATAACACACAGAAAATTGCCCTCTCTAATTTAATAAAAAAAAAATTATTTTCTTATTTTTCAATACATTCAGAGCAGTGGCAGTGAAAACGTAGATCTATGTTTGGACAGTTTAAGGGTTAAACAGGGAATAGTGCCAGAAGGTAGGTCCAGGAAGTTGTACATTTCTGTATGTATTTTTTTTTTTTTGGGGGGGGGGGAGGGGATTTGGAAAGCTGGAGGAAAGAAGGGAAGGATATTACCCAAGACATTCTGAACACAACCTTATTTCCCATGTTATCTACTTTATGCTTTTATAGTTTGTGCTAATTTTCAGGAGAGCAACCTGCACACTATTTGAAAATCTAATTTATGGCAAAACCTGCAGGATAACATAGTTCATCCTATTTTTGGACAAGGTACATAGTACCATATTAATAAGGACATAAGCATTGTATAGGAAATGGGTATTCAAAGTAGAGGCAACAAAAACAGTAAGGTTATAATTTTTTTTTAATGTGTGTCATTTCCCACTGAGGTAGGGTGACCCAAAAAGAAAGAAAGAAAGAAAGAAAGAAAGAAAGAAAAAAAAAAAAAAACTTTCAACATCATTCAACACTTTCACTATCACTCACACATAATCACTGTCTTTGCAGAGGCGCTCAGATATGACAGTTTGGATGTCCCTCCAAACTGCCAATAACCCATTTCCAGGACTCAGTCCAGCTAACTGGTTTCCCTGAATACCTTCACGAAATATTACCCTGCTCACACTGGCACCTCGTTATGTCCCAAAAACCATTCGTCTCCATTCACTCCTATCTAATACGCTCACACACGCTTGTTGGAAGTCCAGACCCCTTGCCCATAAAACCTCCTTTACCTCCTCCCTCCAACCTTTTTAAGGATGAGTTCTACCCCACGCTCCTTCCCCTACAGATTTGTACGCTCTCCAAGTCATTCTACTTTGTTCCATTCTCTCTAAATGACCAACCCACCTCAACTCTTCTTCAGTCCTATAACTAACACTTTTAGTAACCCCACACCTCTTAATTTCCACACTACAAATTCTCTGCATAAGATTTACA